TCGGGAAAAAATGGCGTCCCGGCCGGTTTGCATCCGTGACAAGCGAAGAAATCACTCAAATCAACGACGGTGGTGTATATTATCTCACTGTTTTAGTATATACTAAAACAACTATTCACCCCAGTGTCGGTGGTTAGCGGTGGATATTTACCGCGGCTCGGTAAATATCCACCACTAACCACCGACACTGAGGTGAATAGTTGTTAATTATATCCTGTGGTGTAGACAGAAAGTTCAACTTTCTCCTTACCTTACATAGTGCAACAAGACTGCTTACTCCCACTTCCTGAAAAACTGATACGCAGAATTCTGGTTCCATCGCGCAGCCTTGGTCTCTGCCAAAAAAGGGAAATCAAAAGGGAAAAGGAAATTGAAAAAGGAAAACGGGCTAGATAGTGTTAGCTTCCTTCTCTCTATCACTTTTGACTGAAAACCTCTAATAAATAAAATAAAATTTTAGAAAAGGAAAATAAATGAGATTTAGCAGTGGACATTCAGGTGGCTCTAGGTCAAATTGGAATTTAGAATGCTGGTTTTTTGAGGAGGGGGAAAACCAGAGGGCCTAGAGACACAAAGTCAACCCACACGTGACACCAGATCTAGGAATCAAACCCAGGCCATAGTGGTGGGATGTGAGCATTCAGGTATTCAACAATTCCCTATTGACCCAGCATCTAATGCAATAACCCTAAGACCACCACCTCTCCCTCTCCAAAACCACTGCTTTCTCAATTGTGTTGTGCTTCTGAAAATCTTCTAGCCATATTCCCAAGGCCGTGCTTTAAGAAAAATTGAAGGAACCCAGTGCTCTGATACTGTTAAATCCAGGGTGCTCAGCATATGCTTGTTATAAAAAACTAGGATTCCTGAGTCACTTAAGAGCAAAGGAAGGCACCAGGGGCCACCAGGCATTGCCACAGTCCTGATACTCACTACTGACAATGTACTAGCCCTCTGCTAGTGAACTTCTGCTGCTTTAGCAAATACATTAACTTCTGCATAAGCTCAGCTTAAGACATAATTTTACAGTGGTAGTGGAAAGAGTAAGGTAGCAAAGTGTTTCCTACAGAATACCTCACAACTTGAATACCTACCTGTGGATTGTTAGTGCCTCATCAATCTGGTTTCTGAGATAGGTTAGGTTCAGTGCATCATGCTAAAGGAACACAGAGCAGAATACCTTATATCTTGCTTGACAAGTAATAGAAACAAACTCCGTTTTTAGAGCTTGTGGAAACTTAGCTATAGGCATCAGGAGCAATGGTTAACCTGCAAAGTGTTCTCTGTTAATTTAAGCATGACACGTAAATTGACGCTTTAACTACCAAAAGTGATTAATATGTAACTTCTCCCTAAAATATCCATACATTATCCAGTGAAAAGGTTATGAGAATACTCAACCTTATCAGGTAGGAGTAATTATCTTGATCTAACACCACATTTTCTTAACAATTTAAATTTACCAGGAAATATGAAGCAGCTTAAGGAGAGAATTACAATCAGATCTTGGGAGTTAAAAAGTTAAAGGAATTTTGAAACCAGTAGTCAGAGCAATCATTTTACCTGTTGAATTTTCAAGAGTCCCAAGTGGTTTTAGGGGGTTATATAAGGTACTGTAGGTGGTAAATTTTAACAGTTACCATAGTGTGTGCCATGTCTTTGCTCATTAGTTTGATTGGGTTTCTAGTCGTACTGTCGTTCTTTGAAAAACTGTTTGAAATTCTTAATCCAAAAGGAAATTTGAGATATTAGAACAGCAAAATCTAATCCAAGAGGTTTAAATTTTTTTAATAAAGTATGCCTCTCCATAAAACAATGGACATCATAATCACTTGCATATCCAGCTTTCACTACTGAGCTGCCAGGCATAGATCATAACCATTTTTATTTGCTTCTCTGTTTCCTGCCTATCTTTAATTTTGTCTATGCACCCTAAAGTGGCACCTACTCCAAACATCACAGTAATCCCACCTCAGTGTCAATTCTGATTCCACAGGCACAAAAGACAACCTGCTTGTTCTGATGTAATGGATTTCTGTTCAAAGAAGAAAAATATTTGAACAAAAATCACTGAGGAGGGACAGAGAGATTGAGGCATAACACTCACCATCTGGTTATTCTGAAGTGAAATAAAAGTACTGGGGCTGGTAATGGAGAGGGGGCATGGGAGCGAGAAGGGGACAAGATGGAGAAATTTCACTCACCAGCTTTATCTTTATTCTAGCCTCCATGAAAAACAAATTAACTTTCCATGATGTTTAATTGTTTTCAATCCCCAAATCTCTCTCTATTTACTAATTAACAAATGGTAAACACCACAGCCTACACTATTGAGTTATGGATGCACGCGGGAGGTTGCTAAGCATAAAAGAAGTGTAAGAGTCACTCGAGGCGATAGCCGAGAGCGACTCTAGCCTCTTGAGTGCGTAGCAAACCTCCCAAGTGCATCCATAACTCAATAGTGTACGCTGTGGTGATTACCATTTGTTTTATAACATAACATTGATACATTGTAGCCAAAGAGTTCCCTTTTATTTAACAAATCTTACGTGACCAGAAAAAAGAAGCGCGCACGGAAAAATAGTCTTTGCATTTGCTCACGTCAGCAGTGTACACCCATGGGCAAATGGTGGACACTAAATTGACCAATCAGAGCACG